TTATAAATGAGCTAAGACTCAAAAAGTCGAAATAAAAAATTGCTTAAAAAGAATATGGAATTATCCCTACATTTATCTGTTTACCAAATAGTATATAGTATCAAAAATTTCATTCTGATATTTTAAATAATAGATTACGCCATGTATTACATCAATTAATTTAGGTGTATGTATGCATCTGTGCAAGGAAATCGGGCTTTTTGAACATTTCCTTCATTTCTGCATACAGCTGGAATTAGAGATGGGTAAGAAACATACGCAAATGACATTCTTCAATATTTTTAACGGAATCTTTTACATTATGATTCGATGAAACCAGTAATACAAACTAAATCCAATTTGTCTAATCTTTGGAATATGGTAACAGGTAGTTTGGCGACATTTTGGTAAAGCGATAAAGGTTACTAGCTAGGACTTGAGCAGTGTACATGGATAAAGTCAGGAGTGTGCGCAATGCCATTTTTGTGGTGCAATTCTGGGATGTTTTTTTAAGTGAAAATAGGTCGACGTGTACATACGCGACAAGCAATTTGCGATTCTTCCCTTTCTCCCAATTTCGCACCTAATCTTCGTCATGATTAAGCACTTTTGTTCCATAAAAGTTCTAGCATAAGCGTAATTCGGCTAGAAGATTGTTGGAAAAAAAATGCTGAGTTAAAAAAAAAAAAAAAAAATGCCCTTACTTCGTGAAAACAAAATGACGTCCAAACAAAAACTAGCAGGTTGCTGTAGCAGGGTTGGTCGCCAAATTTTCGCCAAAATCGCCGAGTTACCATAATTCAAAGATTAACCTCTAATTTCTCTCCATTATCTATTTACGTATCTAAAAATAAGTGAGAATTTCTGCAAAATGAATAACACAAATATAGCAAATTTCCTCTTCCCGCCGTTTCTAATAAATTATTTTACGAAATTCTCTAATCTGTGAGAGATTTACTTGAATTTTAATTCAATTTCCAAGTACTCATTTCGAATATCCTAATATAAGTAATTTGTCGCTGATATCTATACTCCAGGATTCAATGTGTGTCCAGTTATGTATAGAATTATGTAATGCTTTTTTAAGAAAAACTTGATGTATATTACAAATTTTTCTTCTCAGATTTTAACTACTTATTCTCTACTTTATTTAGCTACAATTTTCATATGACGCGTATTACAAATTAAATTAATTTCGAATTCGTAGTATTTCTAACGTTTAAATTCAAAATTATTTAATCTTTTGCCAATCTGTGAAAGACATCGTAGGTTTCCTAAGACTCTAGTTAAAATTTCATCGAGTATGCTTTTTCAGTTTAACATAGCGGATTGAATTTTCGAGATTATTAACGATTTTTAGGGAATTTTCATCAGTTTCGCAAATATCAAATTCATTAATGCCTTTCAGAATTATCTAATTTTTTCAAATTTTTGACTTAACCCTTCTATAGTCTTATCATTATTAAATAATTGTATCTTTTATCGAAATATGGTTACTAAATTAAAATACGTGTTAAAAATATTCACAATTTATATGAAGAAAATACGTACGTGCTTTCTATAATGCATGAAAATAAACTTTACTTAAACAGAAATGTTATTGTCACGTAACGTCTGCATAATATTACTAGAATTTGGATTAGGTTGTGTAACTTTTATTATGGCAAAGTCCATTATGTTTAGACAGTTTTGAGTCATTTAAAGCAAATCACAAGAGGAGTAGTTCTTTAGGAAGCATTCAAAAGGAAAGGACGGGTATCTTCGTAGAAGCTGTTTTAAGAGCAACTAGCCCTATTTAGTTTACTCATGAAGGAAACTAAAAACCAAAATCCAGTCAATGCGTTTATATATATATCCCAAAAATACAAACTAACAGCATTGCACTGTTTTAGTCACTCAGCTAATATTTAGATTTGATAACTAATAAATGCAAGCATTTCAAAAAACTTATAAAATATAATGCTTAAAAGGTAAACACAGTTTCAACTTAATCTAAATATTAGTCTAATCTAATTAGTCATCGCATACAATCTTGTAGCATCTTTAACAAAAATTTTTAAAGCAAAGAATAACATTGCTCATTCTAAAGAAATCTTACAAGATTTTATGTATTATTCTTTTTTTATTACTATGGTTTTAACTGACATTTTTGGAAAATTTTAGCGTAAATCCTCGGACTGGATTTTTTTCTTGAGAATAATAACACCTGGCCACGAAATTTTATGATTTACCTTAAATCATGTCTTGACTTCTTTTGCTTGTGTAAAATTACAGCATCACTAAAATAAATGGTAATAACAACTGCTATCCAGTGTTACAAAAACGTCCAGTCTCTGTGTTAATATTTTGTTTCTCATATTTTTAACAACTAATGCTTAATTTAAACGATACTGATGCGAATACAAGCTGGGCGTCATTAATTAGAACAGATCCACCCGAAACGTTAAAGCACAGGGGATTTATTCCAATGATAAAACCAACGACAGCGGCAGCGTGCAGACTTAGTTCCTGCAATTCCAGTTGCGATGTTTCACTCCTGGAGAATAAATTACCTTCGGGCAGAGGAGAGAACGCTTAATGAAGCCTGGATACTGCCTAGGGTGTTTATTAGATCATACGTTGACTTGGTGCGGTAATTACTCTGGAATTAAATTAGATGGCTCACAACAAGTGACATTTCGTAAATTGTCACATCATTTTGTTCTAATCAAAGTAATGCTGTTTTCAACTACTTGAAGGATTTTTGAGAATACACTGATGTTTCTCATCAAATGAATTATTTTCGTAAATCTCTTACACTAGCTATATTTGGTACAACAGCATAAATCAGATCATTATAGTAAAGGACTCACAGGTTATGAACTTTATTTAAAGATGACTTCAAATGATATAATCATGCCCTATTCTGCAAATTTGTGACATTTTTTTTTCTTTTATTCCATGCTTATCATAAAATATTCCATTGATCTTTCGCTTGCGTTGTTAAAACTGCTTTGCTATTTATTTTTTTCCTAACAGTTTACCTATTTTTGTAAATTCAAATTTCTTAGAATGCTTGAGTAATTTCTAATGCGAATGTTAATTAAAATAGGATGCTTATCTATTATCGTTCATAAGTTTAGACTAAATTCCAATTTTAAGTTCTTAGACTATAGCTGCACTTTTAAATACAATAAAGACTAAATAAAAATGATATTTCATCATTCGTTTTCCATATTCTTGTTATCATTCTTAATTCTAAACTAAATCAGAATTACAAAATTCTTACAATGCGTTTCTACATTTATCTATGTATAATATTAAAGAAAAATAATATTCTTGTCTTTTATTACACTTCATTTTAAACTACCCTATCATCTAGTATTCTCAGAATGCATCTCTTAACTTAAATATCCTTCAACCTAAGTTAAAATATTTACAAATTTAGCTAAATGCTGAATCAAAATAATACGCATAGCTTTTACCACTCTTAATTTTGAACTAAACTAGAGTAGAATGCACGTCTGCATTTAAAAATTAGGAATAAGCAAAACATAATGTTGTGTTGTAAGATCGCACCTTCTTAGCTAACATAAAGTTAAAATGATCTTGCGAGATAAACTGGTGTCTCCTCCCACAGGCGTAAAAGAATACCAGCAATGAAGGGGGTAAAATAAACCTTTATTATTCGTCAAACTCTTAATATAAAATGCACGTACTTCGTGCTTACAAAAACACCGATGACTTGCGGTGGAACTTAAGAATAGTTCACAATAAATTCAAAGATAAAGAATAGTGCTGGACTAACAATTTAATTTAATGTTATTATTGACTCAACAACCTACCCGGCGATGTACTTATTAAATAGCCAAAAGGCGTATTAGAAAATCCGAGTAACAGCAAGGTCAAACTAGTAACATGTGCTGGCTAGCAAAATCACGCTCAAAATAAACTACAAGATTCGTCCGTTTAACTACTCACTTCATTTTAAAGCATTTGCATTCTGGTATAGAAATGCGAGAGAAAAATGAGAGGTTAAAGAAAGGTACCAAAACTTAAAATAATTTAATATGCAAAATAAGGGTAATCCTTTAGTGTAATTGTTACTTAATTTGACTATTATTAATTTTAGTAACTGATTAGTTTTTTAATAGTGGTTAATTAAAAGTTTGGTTTTAAGCTGTCGATTGTTTTAGTTAGTTTTGGTATTGGTTATCTTTTAACTTAAAAGTGGATTTGATTTAACTTTCTCAATTTCTGTTTGAAAAACTTGATTTTAGTTCTGTTTGGTTTTATTAGTGATTTGTTCGGATGACCCTTAATATTATTTATTTTAATTTTAATTTTTTTTTGTTACACTAGTTGGGTATTTAAACTTAATTGTTTTGTTAATTTATTTCTGTTTAATTTTTACTCCTCTTTAAAGTAAAGTTATTCAACCTTTATTTGATTCAAGTGGTAATTTCGGAGATGTGCATCGAAATAAAACTTTATGTAATAGAAATGAATTCAGTAAACAGAATTGTTTAAAACTATTTTCTTATCTGTGCTGTAAACAAGTCTATATTCCTCTGTTTACCAGCAGTTCCTTTACTATGTGAAAAACATGTGTGACAGAGTGGAAATTTTGACCCTGCAGAAGAGACTAATATCTGTATGCAGTTATGCTTCTCCGTTTAGAGCGAAATTAGCGGTTTTCTGTTGTCCCTGTTGAATCGGGACCTTCGTTCGAGGGTAATGGAATGTGTTTACGAAAATTAAGAGAGACAGGTGTGTGACCGCCTGGGGTCTTTGGAATTGCAGTGATGGAAGGGAAAGCGCGAGATGTGCCAACGTCTGGAAGCCGACTTTCAGCGTTTTCCCTAAAGAAACACCACTAATGTTGTGGTCGGTTGGCGTTTCTCTTGATTGTTGTGTCACCAAAAGAAGAGAATTGTCGCCATGAGAAGAACAAGCGTCAGTGGGACTTTCGATGCTGAGGTATGGTCGGTAAAACACGTGTTGGAGCGGAAGTGTCTACCCGTACGACGTCGGACGGCTAGCTCAAACATGGTAAAAATGCTAAACGTACGACTGGTTGCGCAGAGACCATCTGCGCATGAACATGCCTCCAATGTGCCATGCGAATCGAGCGCCATTTTGTTCTCGAACGTGGTGGGATGGTGTAGTGGTGAGTATACGAGTGATATCTATTGTTCCAAATTTTAAGTTGAAATTCAAATAAATTAAAATTCTAATGCTTTTTCCACTTAAATGAATAGTCTTTTTTTAAATTTAATTGTCTTTTTGATTAATTTTAATCATTATTTTTTTTCTTGCACAGACCGCAATTATAGGCATAATTCGTTTTCTGCTGAATGTATAGGTAAGAATTATTTTTGATTTTGTAAATATTTAATTAACTTTGAATACAAAATTATTTATGAATTGTATATAGTTTATTGGTTTGTGTGTGCAGTTAAAAGGAAGAAAAAAAATTCGTGTCGTTTATGTACTTATTCACCCATTTTTCTTTAAATACTGCGAAATGTAATATATTCTTGTATTTCTGTGTTCTTTTGAACAAATATACTCATTTTTTCATGTTCTCTTTGATATCGTATTAATAGTAATGTTAAATATCTGGCTGAGCAAATATTTTGGTTATCTGCGCGCTCAACTTTCCAGACGTTATTGGAAATCAGCTTTAATAATGCATCTAGTTGAACATGCTTAGCCAGAAACATTAACATATTAACTTCAGCCGAGCTAGAGCGTGTAATATTAATACCAAAAGCCTAACATTCTATGTACACTTATTGTAAGCAATTCTAGTATTATTCTGTTATTTGTAGCGAAGTTAAAAATTGCAGCAAGAAACAGTGACTTTTGCTGTGATGGTTGTTTTGTTATTAAGCCCAGTTAATGTTTTCTTGCCTGTATGCAGCGTGGTGTGTGGTGTGATGCGGCTATTCTCATTCTTGATTGTAGGGTAAAATTAAAATTTATAATCCATTATTTGCTTAAATGAATAGGTTTTCAATTGTAATTATTTATGTTAATTCATTTTTTTAAAGCAAACTGGTGAATGCGATCTTTTTTCCCTGAATTTCTGCATGTATAGGTTAGTAAAAACTATATTTGTAATTATTTAATTTCGGTACAAAATGTGTATTAAATGTATATAATTTGTGTGTATTATTAAATTTCAAAATGTAGTTGCAGATTAAATAATTACATGGTTCTGCTCGATTCAGGGTAAGAAATGAATATGGTGTACTTCAAAGGTATTCTTTCAATGCTGTGCGCATAACTCTGTTTTCTTATTCAAACGTAATTGTATGGTGTGGCAGTGATATTGATGTGCCTTTTGTTGTTGTTGTTGCTTATGTACTTATTTACACAAATTTCTTATTACATTCTGTGAACAAATTTATAATTTTGTTGTTGTTATTGGATGAGCATTGGTGCTAAATGTCTAGCTGAACAAATTAATATTTTTCTTAATATCAGCAAATATTTCAGTTATGTGTTCATTTGGCAGCATTTACTGCAAACCAGTTTTAATGTTGCTTCTACTTAACCAGAAACATTAACATCGAAGTTGAGCCAAAGTATGTTTTGCCAAGAAGCTAATGTGTGCTATTTTTTATGAGATTCTGGCCATGTCTAACCATATGCTTTTGCAGTGCCTTTCTTTTTTTTTTTTTTTGTCTACCATGGTCCATATGATTTGTTTTTAGGATTACAGTATTTTTAAATTGTTAAACTTGTACTCATCTTCAAACATGTCTTTTCACAACAGCAATATGGTAAAACTAGATATTACGGTCCAGATTGGCGAGTTTTAAAAAAATTGCCAAGTCGCCAAATCGATTGTTTTCGTGTGTTTTAGAAAATCGCTAACTCATCATATCGCCGGTTACAAATTTGAATTAATTCTGTAAACATGCAAAAATATCTAAAACAGGACTTCAAGAAAAACAATGAAAAATCACCGACTGCTTGGTGCGTTTTTAAGAATTACACATCCTCGGTATCCATGTACACATCGACCAACAAATTTTTTACTTGAAGAAACATCTTAGAATTGCACAACTGCAGAGTCGTAGGCGAGAAGTTGAGTATGCAGCTGAAATCATAGAATGAATGTCAGTTTGTGTTTGCTTCACTGTGTTTCAACAGTTCTTGTGTTAAGTTGGCATTAAGGTAAAAAATTACAAGAAGAAAGGTTCAATGTAACCTTTGTATGTATTTATGGGATTTTGTCTTTGTAAGTAAGACAATGATTACCACATCAACAAATACATTTTAAACTATAGGAAAGCTCGTTCTAATTAATTTATTGAAAAAAGTGGAAAATGAGGGAAATATTTTTAATAAATTTCAGCACTGTAAAGTGGGGTGGAAATATAGTAATCCATCATTGGCAGGTCTTCGATAAAGCAACATGCATCATAATAATCATCTTTATGACTAAAGGTAAGAATCAGCCACAGTGCCAAAAAAAAAAAAAAAAATCCCTATTCTGATTTGACATTCAAAGTTAAAATATGCATCAGATGATTGTATAGTTCATTAATGCCATATATTTTGTTAATTTCACAAAACTGGATCAAATTATTTCGTAACAGTAGTATATAAATTTCATAAAGTTGCCAGCTGGAATGTCCTCTGGAGCAGGATTTTTAATTTTCTTTTCTGTTTCAAGGGCAAACTTGCTAGCAAATTCCAATCTGTGTAATTATGTCATATATTAACCCATTAAATGCTGTGGTGCTCATTTGGTTATCATAAACAGTCAAAAGTCTTTAATTTGGACTCTTCGGCGATTTCGGATTATCGGTTTTTTTGTATTATAGCTCATCAGTTTAAATCTTTTAAGATGGCATGCAGAAATTATAAAATTAAAAATATGAAATAAAGAGCAATTATGATCTAAAGGGTATCAAAATTTACAAAAAAAAGTTTAATATTTATTTATTTGTTTACTTTAATAAACTTTTCTTTCAACGTGCGCATGTGTAAAGCATACATTACGCATAGTTGAAATTAGAAAATTGCAACCAGAAAACTATTTCATGTGTATTCGTGATATTTATAATGATGAATTTGATTTAAATCATATCAAAGACGGAGTACATCGAGATGAAATACTGCATTTAGTGAGGAATTATAAGCCAAATAAAATGAAAACATCTGCCCCCTCCTCTCCCGCAGAGCAGCGCGAAATTGATAAACAGATTTCGGAATGGTTAGAGAAACAAATCACCTCTCTGTCACTTTCTTCATGCCTTTAACCATTTTTTGCAGCAATTCCACTTTTTGTTTCATGGACATCAAAACATGCTTTCGCTTGTAAATCCTTTGATATCTCCAGAATCGGAAACTCTTTTTGACATAATCGAAAGTTCAAGCTTACTTTTTATAAAATTGCTCTAACAGTCTGCAAAAAATAATAAGCCGGATCCAATTAGAAGAATAAGGAACAACGCGATCTGCAACATTAACTGAAATAGATAATTTTAGCTTAGCTTATACCGTCCATTATACATTAAACGCATATGCGCATGCGTTTAAGCATGTGCAGAAAGTTTGTAGCTTTGAGGTCCGGATTATAGATCATTCCAGATTAAAGACTTTTGACTGTACTTTAAGCCACCTAGTAACACCATCTAGCTATCTCGGAGGGAAAAAAAGGCAACATTCAACTCATCCACTGAATGTCATTTGTAGAAAACCTAAAGTGATCACTACCTATACGCTCTTATGCTGAGCTCATGTTCATTTCCACATTCCACTCTCCTCTTATCACAAAAGTGAAACATGTGTTTTGAAAACGGATTAGACATAGTGGATTGAGGCTAATTTTGGTCATTGTGATTTTACTATATTATTAGTGAGTGTTGATTAAAGCGGTTATTTACTTCTATCAACAGTCCCTGCTAGACGGGACTTTCCTGAGAAACAAGTTTTTGGTAGCACTGGTTTAAATGGGAGGATTCTTAGAAAAAAAAGAATCCCACCTAGCTACAGAAACAATGTAGCGGCTATGTGATATTTCTTCAAACCTCGCCAAAAATGTTTCAGCTGAAACTCTGTCCGGGTAGAAATGAACCAATCAGATGAAAGTTCTGCTTCTGAAGGATCACGTGGTCCCAATCTGAGCGATAACGGGTTTCCTGGAAATGTGCGGGTTCTGAGAATTGCCCCTTTCGTCATCCAGTTCGGCATAGCCGAAAGATAATGTAATTTTAAAAATTAGATAATGCTTTTTTTTTTTTTTTTTTTTTTTTTTTTGGTCAGTGTAATTTGTATAGATGATGGACACAAATTCATAAAGCCGCATTTGGAGATTACAGTTGATACTGAGTAGAATTTCAACAAGCATTTTATGATTGCATTGTACAAGAAAAGGCTTGAGAAAAGCTTTGAAAGAATTTAAAGATAATATGGGATTCCCAGAACCTCTGTAATTCTGCCTTTGAAGATGATGGCAATGATTTTATAAACGTGGAGCTTCCTCCACAGCAGGTTGATGGAGTTTTCTGATGATGGACTAGAGGCAGAATGAGGCATTGCTAGGAGTGACAAGTGTTATTTAAGATTCTGTGCTTAGCAATGAATCATTACGGGCATTTCAATAGAGATTAAAAATTGTCTTCAGTTAGTCATTTATCTTCAGTAACATACGAGAGGATGCTGAACAGGCACTGGAAGCTGTAGACACACTAATGTTTGTGAAAAATGCAACACCATGAAGGAATTGTCGGAAATGAATGAAATTTATTCCGCATATTACCGATAGTGATACAAGTAAACGATCACATTTACAAACAAAAAAAAAAAAAAAACGAAAGTTGGAAAATCAGTACTTTGGGTTTCTGTCATGCTGAGCGAGAGCCTGTACACATCGTGGCATTGAATCGTATAGGTTCTGAATGTAATCCTGGGGAATGGCTTTGACTTGATGTGAAAGTTCAGTTTCAGTGTGTGGCCCCACTAGCTGTACGTGCGAGTCGCTGACCGATGAAATCCTAGGCATGCTGATTGAGCAACATATCTGGGGAAGATGCAAAACCTGTTGTACCTTAAAGAAGGCTTGTGCACAGGCATTTTTTTCCCCTAAAATATAGTGCCTGGAATGCATCAAATAATGCATACTCTGTCATCATTATACTCCAGATTGTAGCAAGATTTGTTGGAGAAAGCAACTTGTTGCCACAGAGCACGCCACGCACTGAGTTGCAGTGCTCACTGAAGTCGGAGGCATATGTTACTCAGCGACAGGGCAATCCTGCGTAGAGGAACCCTTGCATGCAGTTCATGTTGCAGCAGACAGCGACGAACACTTGTAACCGTGCTCCAATATTGTACTAACATACGAGAGGATGCTCTACAATCCATCACAGCCATGCAGATGAGGTGTTTGTCGTCCTGTGCTGTTGTGTGCCCCATTGCCAGGATTTCACCTTGTTTGGTTCTCGCTGTCCATTTCTTCCAAACATGCATCACTGTTGTGGCATTGTGCTGCGTGCGGGCTGTGATTGTTTGATATGAAAGTCCACCCTCTTGCATACAGACGATGTGGCCTCGTTCAAACTTGTTGGTATGGCATCCTCTGCTGTTGACGAGGCATACTGAGCACAAATTAAATGTTCACTGCAGACGGAGGATGATAAACAGATTTCAGCACAACTTTACAGTCCTTTACAACTGCCAGTTCTCATTTCATGCATGCATAATCCCTTTGTAATTCTAATCATTTGTATGTCTTAACTCACTTTACATTTCATGTAAGTTTGGTTCAAAGTGCATAATTCCTTCATGGTTGTGATTTTCACAAACATTAGTGTATATTAGGTAGTCCTAACTAAAAAAGCATCTTGAAATAAAAGTATGCAGTTGTCCAGATCAAATGTTTATTTTACAGAAAAATATAAACAGCTTATGCATACATGCATTGTTTTTATAGGATTCTGATCATACCTGAATAATAATTTTTCACTAAGTTGTATTTTACAATAATTCTTTCAAATAAGTAACAGTTACTTATCCATTATTTTAATTAAAAGAATTTTGTATATATTTTTGTTCTTATCAACTAATGAAAGGGATGTATATGTATTAATTTTATAAAATTCATGTGAATGTATGCAAATAAATTGTTTATAAATGTCACATAAGTTTATACCTCCTTAAACCATTTTCATGTGAAACAGAAGCCTTATTCATAACAATATAATCAAACATACCAAGGTATAATTTTATTAAGACCCTGAGTTACATCAGTATGAACTTATGATGGAACTATTGGAACAATACTCATCATGAGTTGAGGATTACTTATAATTTGTCAGTAGGCATGTATGAAAATGGGTTTTGTAATTAATATTGAATGTATAACTTTTTCTTTTCATATAAATACAGAAGGATTTCATGTCTGCAGATAATGTATTACAAGAGGCTGTTGTGTGCCAGTGGACAAGCTGGTGAGAAGCTGAACACTAATAGCTTGAATCCTGGTGAATGGACTGCCTGCATAAGCGTCGTCATGATTTTTCCACGTGTAATATGAATGCAAGCCAGTTTGCCTTAAAGCATCCCTTCTTGGAAAATATCTTCTAATGTTTCATCACAAAAATCAGCCAAAAACTGTTTCTCATGATTTGAAAAATACGTATAAAGGAAGTCAAATTTAATTGATAAATTGTGCATGCTGAGATTGTATACTATATCATATACATTTTTTTAATATATTTTCTGTATCTCTAATGTTGAGAATTTTGATGTTTTAATTTAACCCTGAATAAAATGTTAAGTACTATAAGCAAAGTAAGCAGTTTTGTATTTGATGTCAGAACAATATTTTTTTAATTTTTTTATATTTTATACTTGTATATTTTTGCTTATGATTGGAATTTTAGTACAAATTATTTTGGCATGATGTGGCCTGTTCTCATTTAAAATGCATTTTGTATTTTTTTTTCTTCTGTTATTTGCATTATAATAGTTTGGCCATAACAACTATGGATGCCAAATCAACATGTATGGGAATAACTGTATTAAATTTTGAGAAAACCTTTAGGTGTCATTTATTATAAAGGTTGAGATGATTGTTTTTATAAAAATTCATTCATTCTTATCTATTTAAGAATTATCATTTAACATAAAAATATGAAAAAGAATAATATATTATAATACTAAATAAAATATACTTTTATATATATATATATATCCAAGCTCACTATATGCACACTCAAAGAGATACATTTCTTTTTTGTGATGTATGTGATGATAATTTACTGTTAAGTATCTTAAGTTGTTCATAAATAGTGCTCATTTTTCATAATGCACCAAACAAACCTCACATAATTAATTTAATAAAATATTATTGCAGAGACATATTTTTGAAATTGACATTAGTCCTCTATCCGTCCGTCCCATAGGGATAACTATGGGGCAGATTCCTACTGTCATCTACAATATGCCCAAGCCCTTCGCCAATGACAGTTGCTTCTCAATACCCGTATTTTACAATTAAATTCATGAATCTGATCTGGCTGAGTTTCATATCAGGGGAATTAAAAAAGCAAAATACATTCATTACCTAAAACCATTTTTCTCCAACTAGCTGGATGATTATGTGATTGGTGTGCATGGATGGTAATGTGAAAGGATATGATTAGATTTCTTCTAGGTCATAACAGTTTTTAATAATGAAAAGCTCTTGTTCTTTTTTCTTTAAATTCTTGTTTTTTTTTTTTTTTTTTTTTTTTTTTTTTTTTTTATTTCAATGCACACTTTTTTAAAAGCAAACTGAATTAGCTGGATGATCACTACAAGTTTCTTGACATATTTAAAAGTAAAATATTGCATCTACATTCATTTTGAATAAATTGTTATTACTATAGTCTGCAATCATTGAGTTCATTTTAAGATTATTTGTCCTTTTTTTGTTTGTGGAATAGGAGGCTGTATTTTTTAGATTTTCTGTTTATTTAGCCAGTTTTCTATATAATGGCTAACATAAAATATAATTTATGTTAGCCATTATATAGAAATTTATGTGCCCTGTTTTAAAAATTATGTATATCTTAATTTAAGTTTGTCTCATGTCAGATGAACAATGCTGCTAGTCTGGTTGAGAAATTAAGAAAGTCTGACCATTCCATGAAAAATCTTTTAGAACAGCTCACTGATTAAAATACATATACACACCAATTAACTGTGCTCATCAAAAGTGCTGTATTATTTAATGCTTCTTCTGATGAGCAAAATTCAAAGCATTATTTCTCTTGTTTCCTGTGTATGAAGTTTGTAGCAAAATGGAATTATTATTTTTTTAAATTTCATTCAATGATATCACTATTTTTATATGTCTGATAATGATCTACTGCATAAGTAATATCTATATGCAAACATAAACCAAAATCTTGCTTTAGAAGAATACCCACCGGTGTCGGTTCTCGAATAGATAAGACACAGAATACTGGTGATACAATTTAGGTTTGAATTCTATCAAGTGGGTTAGCTACATCTCTGTTTTTACAGTTTTCCCTATGTTTAATACGAATACAAGTCAGTTTCATTCAAAAAGTGCTCAAAGAAGGGCATCTCTTCTTTTAAGCAGATACCCCTCAGGACCTTTGCCATAAAAATTCAACAGCTGAGCATGTACTAAAAGATAACATAGTATACAAATGTCCATTTTATAACTTTCAAATGAAGTGGTCGATTTAAATTTAACATCTGGTGCTATAGCAATATATGTGACTTGGGTAAACAGCCAGTTGATATGGTCTAAGGAACAGGGTTTTTAATTTTATTTTATTTTCGTATAGCAAACTAGCTTGCCTATGCATATATGCAAGTCTAATTTATTTTTTACAAAAGATTCATATTAAAATACATACACATATGACAAAGAAATGTATGCACATAAGCTATAACTAATAAATCAATTGAGCAATATGTGAACATAGATGCTAATGGTTCAAGTGTCGTGTAGCAGGGTATGACTGCAAACCCTATAGTGGTGCTGCAAACAAAAATTAGTGTCTGATTCAAAGCAGGCATAAAAACTAGTATACATACAGTTTGTCCCCATATGACACAAAACAAAAAGTATGTAATCAGAAAAAATATCATGTAGACATTGATTTACCCAACTTATAAGCTTCGGTAAAGGCCTTATCATTCGCCTTAAATCTGTAGAATGATCAGCACCCTTCTGCTTTGGAAACAGCTCCAGAAAGACATGTTAACCTAATCCACACTACAGTAGAACATGTGCCTCTGAACCATTACCATCGAAACTGCAATTTCAGAGTCACTATGTACACTAATCTCGATATTAAAGCACTGGTAGCTCTATTTGAGATTGTGCTATTGTAGATGAGTGTAGAGCACCATAGAACGGTGATGTATAATATTAGGTTTATTTAGGAGCCAAAAAAAAAAAAAATCAGAAATGACCTATCCTGGATTCGAAATCTGGGCTTAAAGACTGCCATCCAGAAGTGCTTCTAATTACATCATGAAAGCATGCGTTGAGAAAAAAGAAAATTCCGTACATTCTTCCCCATTTAAAAGGCAGTTGGGGAGGTGGTAACCTAATCGCCACCTGCTGGTGGTGAAGAATTATCGTCTACCACATTTTAGTTTGGGAACCACTTGGTTAGTTGGTTGAGCCTTTAGGTATTTATTTGAAATAGAAAATATCAGCGAATGACCGCCCCAGGATTTGCATTCTGGACTTCCCTATTGCCAGCCGAACGTGCTTCTAATTAGAACACGAAGCCAAGCGGTAAGGAAAGAGAAAATTAGTGACTTAGTATCTTATTTTATTTTGGCTGCACACAGTTCCTATATGTAGCTAAGCGAATTTCCCGGTCAGTAGCATAAATCCCAACCTTCCTAGTGGACAGCGTGCTTCCGCTCCTGTAAAATATTGCGATTTAAGAAGTCATCCACGATAGCTGATCAGTTCTGCAATTATATAAATAATAAAAATTAAGAATGAAATGGAGAAATTAATGTAACGTTAGTACAAACAAGAAGATGCAACAAAAAGATCAATTAGGAGATCACTTAGGGTCCGGTATTGTACAGCATGCACATATACGTAGCATGACATCTATGGGGTGTAGGAGAGGGTATAAAGCATGGTGTATGCTCAAAACATGAACGGAAGCTACTGCACGGTACATTTGGTTTTAACAACATCGATTTGTAGTCTCAGCGTGACAGTTCTATAGACAATATCTGGACGACTTTGTCTGGAAGTTTGAAAGAAGGCCAAAGTGCGACTATACACATCATGTCAGTAGTTTGGATTACATTTCGAACAAAGGGAGCAGCTATCTGAATGTTTAGTAATGCTCATTGCCAAATTAGACTTTTATATGCCCGTAGCACTTCAAAGATTTTGCTGCCTCCACATACATCTATAGTATAACGCCTCTTTCTCATCATTCCCTCTTTCTCGGGCTTGGATTAAGTGCACTAGGTATCTTCTAAAATCTGCAGTGAGAATTTTATTTTTGTGGACCCTTTGCACTCTTTGTTTGAATCTTTAAGCACCTTTTAGTAACGCCGCCTTTACCTGATGCCCTAAGCACGTGCTTACTTTCCTTAATGGCTAATCCAACTCTGGTAGTGGTTTTCCACAAACAACCACGCCAGGATATGAAGAACTGATATCTTCTCTTACAGATGATGAGTTGGGTTCAGTTTATTTAGTTATGGCGAAACATTCGAGGGCTACCTGTCTAAGGGAAGGGATGGCTTCGTGAAAGACTTTCTAAGGGAAATTGGACTGTATATAGGTTACACATATGGAAACCATGAAAACGCTTAGTTAGCAGCCAATCTGCTCGCCGGGATTCGAGCCCCGGCCCGAGTTTATCGGCTTTACCGCTCGGCCACTGGAGAGCCGTCTTTAGATGATGCGATATCTATGCTAATGACTCCCATCATCTGGTGGTGGTGACAGTGGGTGACATCCTAAGATGCATGCAATCTATTACTGGACATCCAATATGGCTAAAGACTTGGCTATAGTTTTCAGCGCCTAAAGACAACTGCAGATTTCGTACACCCTTCTGTTTTCTAAGTATGGAAACTGTTTCATTCTAAAACTTCGTCAGTTTGGCATTTCCGTGACACTACGCCCAGGGACAGTTGTCCACCCTCGCCCGTCTCTAGCTATAACACTGATATCACTACGAAACAATCTCATGGTGTTTTGATCGCTTTGCGGACTTTCATGCCTTCTCGTCGGAGGCAGTGTCTTTCTGTAGTGTTGCAAACAAAAGATCTGAGTAGCTCCAGTGGAGTGGCGAGCATAACTGGCGCCCGGGCAAAATACCTTTTTGGCGCCCCCCCTTCCCGAAAAAAACACAGTGATATGATGAAAATCTTGTTTGGAGACCATTTGGCGCCCCTCTGCGACGGCGCATCATACACCCCCTTTACGCCACTGAGTAGCTCAGCAATGGAGTTGAGCTTTAAGGATAGCAGCAGTCGCTGGCAAGACTAAACAGGGAAAGGGGGTGTCATCCAGTTTTCTAGGACAATAGAGCAGCCGCTGCAATATTATATGAGGGTTATCATCCCGGTTCAAGAATAAGATAACAGCTTTAATCTTCCGATATTTAGATTATCTAGCCATTCTGGAAGTCTAAATATCTAGATAAAGCAGAGATTACGCAGTCGTCCCTCTAAGATCATCGAAAGGAAACAGTTTGCAAGTGCTCAAATTTTCGTTTGTGGAAGTGAAATGCTTGGTCGCTATATGAAGCTCCATACATCTGAAGAAGATTAATTCACTA